TGGCAGTTCCGGCGCCTTTGTGCGCGGTCTGAACGGTCCCTTACATAGCATTTCACCAAAGCATGAGCATTCTATTAGAAAAATAAACAAAAATGGCAAACAGCAAAATGTACAACAATACCTTCCATAACTTTGCTCTCTCGCCTTCCTATGCTGCTCCAATTCAGCTCCCTTATAGTGATCCACAATGGTCACACCATTACCCATAGCTGTCTGTTCCCAAGCTCCAGCAACACGTTCACTATAACAAGAATTGTACTTTCAAGCATGAGGAAAATAAAAGAAAGCTCATGCCCCAAGACAGACCTAGGCAGAGGGAGGGGTTCTAGTCCTTCGCGTTCACACTTCAGCCGCCACATACGATCGTCCTCACAGATATCACGCCAGAAACGTGATACCCTTGCAGCACGCACGATGTCTGCCATCGGTAGATTTGCAACAATTTGTATGGCCAGCTAAAAAAGTGATCTTGCAACAACCAAGTTCAAAGATTCTAGTTCAAGACACAGAAAGTTACGATGCTAGCAAACAAACTATTTGCAATTTAATCTGTATTTTATTTGTGACAGATGCCAAAAATACATTATTAATGCACTTCCTGTCTTCCTGTTTCAAATCTCCTAGAAAACAGGCTGAAGATATAGCCTACGAGACTTTATAGATTACCTTCAGCCGTTTACCTTTGATATAAATCTACCTACAAACAGATTGGTATTCTTGACAAGTGCCTGTCCTGCTCATCATCTTAATGACAGTACCCAAAAGATGTGCAGGCAAAATCCAAACAAATCAGACTAATCAGTAGTTTCATAAGTCCATAACTGTCGCAGCCATTTTGAAAACGATCAATTCCTTTAGTAATGGAAACGCATAAGACGAAAGGAACTGCAAAACAACTACTATTGCTCGAAAGATAAATATTCGGGTGGTGCAAAACGTTTGCGAGAAGGAAGTTACCAGCAGATCAAAATCAGCTCACTTTTTCGAACAATGAACATAATCAGATGTAACGCAGTGGCCATACTTCGCCCAAAAGCGCTCAAAAGCGCCC